AGCCAGCCGAGCCGAGACCGGTGTTTTGGCCAAGCCTAAGGCTTTTCAGCCGAGGCTATCCGAAGGTGTTTCAGCCCAAGCCGAAGGTGTTCTGGGAAAGCCAGCCGAGCCGAGACCGGTGTTTCGGCCAAGCCTAAGGCTTTTCAGCCGAGGTTATCCGAAGGAGTTTCAACCCAAGCCGAAGGCGTTCTGGGCGAGTCGAAGGTGATTCAGCAGAAACCAAGGGCGGTACAGTTTACCGCTCCCAAGTTAAGGTCGGTAACCATTGCCGAGCCGAAGCTCACCTCTTATCTCCTGGCCGAGGCTAGCCATAGCCGAAGCCGAGCCCAGCCGAGGTTTACCTTCGCCGAGATTCGAGCTCCCAGCCGAAGCTCACAACCATATGAGCCGAGGGTGCTGCCGAAGATGGTTTGTCTGAACCGAAGAAAGAGTAATCAACTCTTTCTATCTTCGGATCAAGAGTAATAAACTCTTTCTATCCTCGGATCAAGAGTAACCTCTTTCTATCCTCGGATCAAGAGTAACCTCTTTCTATCCCCCGGATCAAGAGTAATAAACTCTTTCTATCCTTGGATCAAGAGTAAACCTCTTTCTATCCCCGGATCAAGAGTAATAAACTCTTTCTATCCTCGGATCAAGAGTAACCTCTTTCTATCCTCGGATCAAGAGTAAAACTCTTTCTATCTTCGGATCAAGAGTAAACTCTTTCTATCCCCGGATCAAGAGTAATAAACTCTTTCTATCCTCGGATTAAGGGTAAACTCTTTCTATCCTCGGATCAAGAGTAATAAACTCTTTCTATCCTCGGATCAAGAGTAATAAACTCTTTCTATTTTCGGATCAAGAGTAATTAACTCTTTCAATCCTTGGATCAAGAGTGTTGCCTCGGACGAACTCTTTCAGTCCTCGGATCAAACCTTGGATCAAGAGTGTTGCCTTGGATGAACTCTTTCAGTCCTCGGATCAAACCTTGGATCAAGAGTGTTGCCTCGGATGAACTCTTTCAGTCCTCGGATCAAACCTTGGATCAAGAGTGTTGCCTCGGATGAACTCTTTCAGTCATCGGATCAAACCTTGGATCAAGAGTGTTGCCTCGGATGAACTTTTTCAGTCCTCGGATCAAGAGTAATTAGCTCTTTCAATCCTTGGATCAAGAGTGTTGCCTCGGATGAACTCTTTCAGTCCTCGGATCAAGAGTAATTAGCTATTTCAATCCTTGGATCAAGAGTGTTGCCTCAGATATACTCTTTCAGTCCTCGAATCAAGAGTAATTAACTATTTCAATCCTCGGATCAAACCTTGGATCAAGAGTGTTGCCTCAGATATACTCTTTCAGTCCTCGGATCAAGAGTAATTAACTCTTTCAATCCTCGGATCAAGAGTGTTGCCTCGGATGAACTCTTTCAGTCCTCAGATCAAGAGTAATTAGCTCTTTCAATCCTTGGATCAAGAGTGTTGCCTCAGATATACTCTTTCAGTCCTCGGATCAAGAGTAATTAACTCTTTCAATCCTTGGATCAAGAGTGTTGCCTCGGATGAACTCTTTCAGTCCTCGGATCAAACTTTGGATCAAGAGTGTTGCCTCGGATGAACTCTTTCAGTCCTCGGATCAAGAGTAATTAACTCTTTCAATCCTTGGATCAAGAGTGTGTTGCCTCGGATGAACTCTTTCAGTCCTCGGATCAAGAGTAATAACTCTTACAATCCTCGGATCAAGAGTGTTGCCTTGCATAAACCTGAACAAATAAAGTCCTTCGACTCAATTTCTATGAACGAATTATTTGGGAAATTGAAACAAAACCCAACTCATTTTTTCAAATAGAATTGGGTCTCGGGGGCTAATTGTTTGGGTACTAAAATTGTCATACCCATTTTAGTCTTGGGTAACTCTACCCATATAAGCCCAAAGGGCATAAAAAAGGTATAAAAGGCCCCAAATAAGTCAAATACATCAATATGGCCTTCAACGGCCCACATATGTAATTTTAGGGCTCATAAACCCACTTATGTACTCATATAAATACCCCTCAAAGGGCATAAGGTAAAGGGAGGTCACTCTTATCATCTAAGATGACCATACTCCTCCACTCTCTCCCCTAAACTCCTCTCAAAATATGCATTGTTTGGCAACTAACTTGGGCGTCGGAGGCTCCGCCCCGGGTTCAACCCCCGGGGCTCGGGGTTCATTTTGCAGGTCCATTCAAGGCCCAAATTCGAGGTTCTCAGACACCCCTCCAAGGCCCGGTTAGCTCATTTTTTGCCGAAACAGTATCAATGTCGTTGTTCGCGATAATTCTTTCGAACTGTAATGGTCTTTACAAATTACAATAATTCTTTGGTACTCCTTCCATATGTTTTTATGTATTGTTCTACTCACTTAGATACGCAATTTAGAAAATATTAAACATGTAATAAGTACATGTAAGATAAAGTCTAAACATAAATATTGGCTGACCTAACTCTACTTATAATTAACCGTTCTAATATACATCCTCTATCTCTACTCGATTCACTTAATATGCATGTGATCAAATCAAATTAACTTTGATGGTATCCTATAATTCTATTAGGTTTATTTAATTTCACTGTGAATTGATTTAGGGCTTGTTTTGATTTACTGAACTAAGCTGAATTGAAATAAATTGAACAAAATTAAACTAAACTAAGCTAAGCTGAACTAAATTGTTTATGAGAAAAGAAAATTAGAACTTAATTGAATTGAATTAAACTGAAATTAAGCTAAAGAGAGCAGGTCCTTATCTCACTGTAAATTGATTTATTTCACATTACTATCAAGCCTTAGTTACGGAGCTCAAGCAACCACGGTAACCGGAGCTCAAAATGGGTTGTGGGTCGCCGGTTGGAAGGGGTTGTGGGTTGTCGGGAGGATGAAGGGATAGTGAAATAGTAAGGGTACGATTGTCCATTCACACCAAATGTTAGCGGTGGTGATCATTTTTGTTGGCGATGTTTAGCAATCCACTAATTAAATACTAACTCACTTGTTTAAAAATGCTAACTCATTTTTGTAATTCAAAATTTCACCTATTTGGTCACCAGTAAAAAAAAACGTTATAAAAATTAATGATTTAACAAGATTGACGTGTTTAGAAATAATCAAAAGGTTGACATAATAAAAATGAATGACCAAAAGATTGACTTAATATTTAGGAAATTTGACTTTTACCACCTTCAAATAACCACTTAATTGAATTTACCACCTCAAAAATAAAAAAAAAATAAAAAGATTTTCTTTACCACAAAAAAAAAAGTTTTACCACCTAATCCTAACTCCGGTGACGGAAACTGACCGTAGGGCCCTCAATCTGTCACTTCCCTCCAAATTTATTGTTCTAAACTCGATTTTCCTCTCTCTTCTCCTTTTCTCACCTTCCCTGTTCAATTTCTCTTCAATTTCTCACCTCCCTCCTCTGAAATTTTTTCTCTCTCCTCTGGAATTTCTCCTCTCTCCTTTGAATTTGCATTCCCTATATGAACCTCCCTGCTCATCTTCTTCATGTCTGAACTAAGAGTCTTGCATTTCACCTTCAAGCTTTCAATCTCATTGAGCAAGCACCTCCTCTGCAATTTATTGATAACAAGATTGATATTAATTTTATATGAACACAATTACCATAATAATCTAACCTTAATTTTAATATTCAATTGAAATTTCAAAAAACCCCCAAATTAATTTTGACTAACATGAACCCTAATTTTTTAGGGTGAAATTGGGGTTCAATTAATAACACATATGTGCAATTTCAATTACACTTAACAATTGGAACATATTCACGAAAAGAATTGTAAAAAATTACATCACAAATCAAGAAAATTGCGTACCTTCAATTCGTCCCTCCTTTGTTGTAGGACCGACTTGATTCAAGGACGGCCACAAATCTTAAATAATTTGATGATGTAGGATTGTTAGGGATCACCAAATTTAAGGATTTGGCAAGAAAATCGCAAAAAAAAAAAACTTCAATCTTTAAGAATTTGATGTAGAATGAAGAAGGTGGGTTTATATAGAAAAAGAAATCGAGAGAATTTGGGGAAAAGTTCAAAAAGTAGCCGTTATTGTGGACCCCACAGTCAGTTTCCGTCACCGGAGTTAGGATTAGGTGGTAAAACTAAATTTTATTTTTTTATGTGGTGGTAAAGTAAATCTTTTTTTTTTTTAGGTTGTAAAGTCAATTAAATGGTTATTTGAATGTAGTAAAAGTAAAAATTTCCTAATATTTAAGTACAAATTTAAATTTCTAGTACTTATTTTATTTACCAATTTTACGGAGTACATAGACCCACCTAATTGAAATATGTGAATATATATGATTAATATACAAATTTTACGGATAAGTCCAACTAATGCAAACTATCTCAAATCACTCATATTGACGTGTCTCTTAGAAGGAAAAATTTGGTAACTCCGTAAGTGGAATATCATTATATTACAACCCATAAAATGAATGTTATTACTACAGTATATACCTTTTATTCGTCATATTTTGGACATTATTGAAATTATGCATGCTTTTTTAATGTTGAATACGGTATATTTTTGTACAAAAGGGTTTATAAATAATATCATCATAATTCACTTGGAAAAATATACTTTGTCGACTTCTTGAATCTTGATTATGTGGTGAATGGTGATGATGATCATCCGCAAACAAATTATCAAACATAACAGTTTATTTAAGGAGTTTGGGCTGCCCATTATTATTATTATTATGGTAGTTATACTTCAAACAATTACTATAAAATTTTCAACCATAGAATTGGGTAGAAGGAAAAAGGAAGAGAGAAGGGTAAAAGTACAAAATTATCCATGTAATGTAAATACTAAAGAATAGAGGAAGAGATAGAAGGATAACATTTGTGTAAAACTTCCTTAAAAGGCAAGCGGTACAATAATTAAAAAACGAAGAAAGTATAAACATATAATAAAAAGTAGATGAATGATCAAGGATTGAAATCATTGAATACATGCATGAATAATATATTTTTAAAATAACACTATATTATTAATACATTGATAATAAAGGATTGAATACATGCATGCCTTATTTTGTAGCAATATTTCTCACAATTAACGTTACTACAAATAAATAACATGGAAATCACGCTACTTATTACAACATTTTAATTTTTAATAAACATGGCGCATGTAATTAACTTAATATGTTTACTTTTGGGCATGGTGATGATCATCGACGCGTTTGATAGCATCAAGCCAGGAGTCGAGCAGAGCAGATGGTTCAGGGACATCAGGATGCTTCTTCTCATACTCTAAACTCCATTTAACTATGTTGGTTTCGTCATCCTTGGGGATCACTTGGCTTGCTCCATAGAAAGTTTTATAATCATCCAAGAGATCGCCTTCGATCACTTGGTATTTGACATACTTCTTCTCCTCATCAACCTCTTTAAGTAAAGTCTTTGCCTTTTGAGGCTTCCCAGCTTATAACCATAACAAATTTAAAATGAGTACGTACTTTTATTTGTGATTCTAAAACAACCTATATTTAAATTCTTAACAAACAAACAATACAAGATTAATACGTTTTATCTCGATCAAGACTAAATTGAACTAAGTAAGAATTATCAGTTACTTGTACATATTAAATTTTGAGTACTTTGTGAGTAAAACGTACTTCTACGTATATGAAAATTTCTAATTACTACCTCCGTTCACTATTATTTGCAACAAAGGAATAATTTATGGCTATACCCAGTTAATTCCCCAGATAAACAAAATTTGTTTATCTGGGAATATAATTGTCTTATTAAGTACCAATAGAGGGGTATATGCGTATTTTCATGTATTAATTGAGGGGTACACGTGTAATTTCCTCACCAAACAGTAAAAGCAAACAGTATTTGGACAGCACACCAAAAGTACTGAATAAATAACCCTGCTTTTTCAATATATTTACAAAAATGTCATCAGATTAACAAAAATTCGTTTATCTGGCATATTAACTTATATTTTCCCATATTTTATATCTAACAAATAATACTCCTTTGTTGCAAATAATAGTTATAAGTTTATAACGGAGGTAGTAAAAACGACTTACATTTTAAATTCTCAAGGAGTAATACTACGCACAAGATTATTTATACTTGATATAAGAATGGAATAGAATAAGTTACCTAAAGTGTAGTTCCAAATATGTGTAGAGCCAAGTTTACCATGGTCACCCTCGTGCAAGTCAACATCGTGCACAAAATGAGAGGCAACATTAGAAAGATGATGAAGTTTATTCTTAAGTATGTCATGGTGGACATCTGCACCAGTTGCTCTAATCTCAACTTCACCCTCAAGCTTACGTAAACCACTCATATTTTTTCTCCCGAATACCTTACTGCATGTAAATACTCCAAGTAAGTATGCCCACATTTTATAGCTATTTATAGAATGAGATCGAGATAAGAGATGCTCATATGCCGTGACAAGTCCAAACACTAGGTACGTAGTATTTTATTTGCACGTTACACAACTGTCTGTGAACATGACATATGAGGTCTTGTAGATGAGAAAGGAATTCTCTTGGCGCATAGGTTAATAGGTAGAGCTGTCAGTTTCTAACCCGAACCGTTCAATCCGACTGTTTCGAACCGTTCCAAAAAAGAACCAAATCGTTAAAAAACCGTTTTTTTTACAATCGAAAATCGACCCGACCCAATTTTTTCTCTATATTGTTTCCATTGTATTTTTCCCATTCATAATATTCGGCCACATTACAATATATATAAACAATAGTAATAACTAACCCTAATATTTCTTATTTTCTTAACTTCCTATAAGATATTACATACTTTCTCTGTTTTTATTTAGTTGCAAGTTGCAACACACCCTTCGGCACACATTTTAAAGAAGATATTAGATTAGGGCAAGTTGCTACGGTTTAAATTTCATAGCTTAATTCATTTGTTTAACTAGTTTAATCACCTCCTCGAAAAGCATGATAAAAGATATGTTACAAGTATTAAAAAAAAAAAAACAGAGCAAATATATCTTTTTACAATAATATCTCATATCATACATCACAATATGTGTTCCTATCTCAATATATGTCATAAATCAGACTTTAAAATAGTAGGAAATTAAACACAAATCAAGTGAGTTTTCATTCTAATACCGTATGGTAATAGGCTAATAGCCTTATATAAGAGGTACGAGTATATAATTTATTGATTTAATACATTTAAGACTTCTAAATTTCTAATGTAGTTTTGTCAAAGAGTGGTTGTGAATTAAACAGACTAACTGTTCACTAATTATTGTTACCAACTTACCATAAAAAATATTGGTTTGGCCCCATGATTTTCCTTCGTAATTCATCAACACCATTTCACACCACATGCATGTATGTACGACACTCATCATTTGGCTTGAATTATTTGTTCATAATAAGACAATAGTATCAATGTCATTGAGAAAGTATTAAACCTGGGCACGGGCCGGGTTGGCCCACGTGCCGCCCGGCACGGCCCGCCGTTCGGCGCAGCCCGGCACGGCCCGAAGTCAAGCACGGCACGGCACGAAGTTCAACTTCCGTGTTACGGGCCGTGCCACGGACACGGTTGAGAATTCCCAGGCACGGCCCGGCACGAGCACGGGCATGGCCCGCCGTGCTGGCCCGCAGGCACGGCCCGTAGGCACGGCCCGCGGGCCAACGGCTATAAAACGGCTAGTTTTTTGCCAAAAATTCTATAAATACTCACCTCCATTTCATTCCCAAATCACAAAATCACAATCTCTTCTTCTTATCTCTTATATTCTCTAAATCTCTACTAATCCTTATTTTCTTAAATTCTCTAATTATTCTCTTAAATTCTCTAATTATTTTCCTAATATCGAAAAAAATTAAAAAGTTCGTAATCGTAATTAGTGGAGCGTTGAAGCACGGTTGTAAGATCTAAACTAATCTTAAATTTATTATTGTTTTATTGTTATTATTAGAATAATCTTGTTTAATTATTATTGTTGTTAATTGTTATTGTTGTTGTTATAATTGTTGTTATTAATTATTATTATTGTTACAATTGTTGTTATTATTTATTTTTGTTGTTATTGTTATTGTTATAGTTGTTGTTATTAATTATTATTATTGATATTTTTATTGTTAAAATTGTTGTTATTAATTATTATTATTATAGTTAACCACTTTTTATTAAAAAATTAATTGTTAATTATGGCATCGAACAACCCATCATCTAGGTCTAGGGGGAAAGGCCGACTTATCCGTAGTAGTAGTTCTAGGGAACCACCAAATACAACGAGCCCCCAAATTACGAGTCAAACCAATGACCCCATTTACTTCCCCCCGGGCTATGAGCCATATAATACGTCGGGATTTCCAGCACCACCACTAAACCAATTTCCACTACCACCATACCAATTTCCACCTAATTATATCGGTAATCAACAAAACTATTGTTCTAGCCAAGGTAGCCAAGAAAGTACCCGAATTCCCTCCGGTTCTACCCCTTCTACTGCCACTCCCACTAGTCCCACTACTAACCATCACACACATCATGAATGGTTAACCGAAACTGAGATGCTACTTTTGAAAAACCGAAGGAGTGAGGTATGGCGTTATTTTGTCCTAAGTAAAGATGGTGAACAATGGGCAAAATGTAAAACATGTAATAGTGTATTCACGACAGTTACCAAAAACGGGACGGGACACTTATCTAGACACATGAAAGCTTGTGCAAAACCAGCTAGTGATCCAACCCAGCCCAAAATTTCCCAATTCCATCCATACGGCTTTACATACAACTATGAGAGGGATAGGGATGAACTAGGAAAAATGATAGTACACGCCGAACAACCTTTTCTTTTCTCGGAAAGTGACGCATTCAACACCTACATTAACAAAGCACTACAACCCCAACATAAAAGAATCTCTAGGAAAACCGTTCGTTCCGCCGCAATGAAAAATTTCCTAGAGTACAAAGTCCGGTTACAAGCCGAATTGAGTAACCTTAACTGTAGAGTATCTTTAACAGCCGATTCTTGGGATAGTGGTTATAAATATCACTATTTATGTGTGACTTGCCATTGGGTAGATGATCAATGGATGTTACAAAAAAGAATAATACATTTCAAAATGCTGGAATACCCACACACCGGCATTAACATTGCTCACCATTTAATGCAAGCAATAGACGAATACAACCTTCGAGATAAAATGATGTCTATGACTTTTGATAATGCAACCTCTATGACATACACAGCTAATCTTATCAAACAAAACTTAACCGATGTACTATTAGACGGTGAAGCTCTTCATACTAGATGTGTTTGCCATGTACTTAACTTATGTGTACAGGATGGAGTTCGGGCAATTGGCCCATACTACAGCAAAATCAGAGATGCTATTATGTCTATTAATAGCTCTAACATGAGATACCAAGAATGGAAGAGTTTTCTAAAACAACAAAAGATAAGGGTAATAAAAATTAGAACCGATTGCCCAACTAGGTGGAATTCCACCTATGACATGTTAACAAAGGCAATTGAGTACAAGGGCCCGTTAACATTATTTTACAACCAAAAATTTCCACAAAATGCTTACTCGCCCAACTTTTCGCTGATCATCGCGATCAAAGTGATTATGATCAGTATCTTCCAGCAATGGAAAAAAAGTGGCGTAAATATTATAGTGAGATTCCTTTGATTTATATTTTTGCTTCCATATTAGATCCTAGGCAAAAGTATGAAAACAAATTTATGTTAGTTGACATTTACTTTCAATGCATGTTTCTTGACGATGATGTAGAAAACTATAAGACTAATGTGAAGGATCAGTTTTTTGCTTTATATAGAGTCTATGAAGCCAAATATGGCACCGTTCCTCGCTCAGGGCCTTCCCAACCATCCAAAAACGTAAGTAAGAAGGCCAAACATTTATTTTCACAAGCTACTAACTTGATTTCAAGGTTTTCAGGTGATTCATCAATCAGGAGAACGCAAAGCGACGTCTCGGAGTTGCAGATGTACCTGAGTTACGACTTCACCAAAGGCATGGACGACGATGAGATAAACAGCCTCGACCTCCTTGCATGGTGGAAACAACAAAGCTCGAAGCATCCAACTTTGGCGGCAATGGCACGAGACATTCTTGCTATCCAAGTTTCCTCTGTCGCCTCCGAACGAGCTTTCAGCGCATCCGGAAGGGTTTTAGACGATAGAAGAACAAGTCTAAAACCCGAAACACTAGAAATGTGCGTGTGTTTCAAAGATTGGTTGGATGCGGAAAATCGCTCACAAGACCGTTCTTACGACCACAACGACAACGAAGAAGGAACCTCCGCTTCCGGTTCGGGTTCGGCTAGTTCCCAATCTATGCAACTAGCTGATGACCTTGAAGGCGAAGGCGAAGACGAAGACGAAGACGGGCAAGAAGAAGGAGAAGAAGAATAGACAATTATTGTATATTGTACGATTTTAAAAATATCAATTTTATCATTTTCCAATTTTTGTTTAATACCATCATTGTATGATTTTTATCATTGTTATCATTGTACAATTTTCTCAACTCAAGTAATAATAATATAAAGTACGCATTATTCACATCCAAAGTCCAATTTGCCTTTTTCCCCCGTTTTGTTACAATTTGTAAATTCATATTAAAAAAAAATTAAATTATACCAATTACTAATAAATCATAAACATTAAATTTTAAAGTAATAGTATAAAGTAAATATATAAATATAAATATTGAATATACAAATTATAAAACATAAATATTCAACTTATAATTGTAAAATTCATAACTTAATAACTTATAACTTATAAGTTATAAACTTATAAGTTATCTTATAAAACTTATAATTATAATTTTATAACTTATATACATTATAAACTTATTAATTTATAATGTTGTCATAAAAAAAAAAAAAAAAAAAAAAAAAAAAAAACTGCACCAGCCCGCTGCCAGCCCGCAGGCCGGCACGAGGGCCGTGCCGTGCCGTGGGCTGGCCTGTGAAAATGGCCGGCACGGCACGAAATCCTGGACCCGCCGGCACGAACCAGCCTGTGGCCCTCCAGGCACGGCCCGCGGCGGCCCGGCACGGCACGGTGCCCAGGATTAGAAAGTATAGAGAAAATGTCATTGATCAATAATAATTCATCTCTCTATGTGGTGTACAGTGTACTTCCATTCTTTTAATTTTTTTTTAAAAAAACGACCATTTTTTTACTTTGTACTTTAAATACAAGTTGATATCTTATATTAACAAAAAAAAAGTTAATATCAGGGATAATTTTGTAAATTCACAGCCAATATCTCCTTTCTCTCTCTGCTACACCCTTTTTCTCTCCTCATCTACACTACTGCACCACCATAGACAATCACCGTCACCACATAACCACCACCTGCGGGACCACTTTACAACCACTAGAACCACCGCCCGACCACCGCATGCCCATTGACACCATCGCATGACCACTGCACAACCTTTAGAGCCACCCATCGAACCACATCACGACAATTAGCACCACTGCAAAACTATGAACACCATTTCACAAGCAAATTCCTTTCCCTAAGGGATTAATATGGACCCAATTTACTTGTTCTACAACTAGGGTGTCTTTTAGTTTGTTTGGCCGGCCGGTAAACCGACCTATATAGTCCCCAAGTTGGTCCATTGTCGTTATAGCTATGGGAGGGGAGGAGAGAGAATGAAATATTGGTGGTTGTGGAGGAAGAAGACTGGTGATATTAACATAGTTTGTTAATATAGGATATTAACTGGATTTGCCGAGAAAATACAAGTTGATATCTTATATTAACAAAAAAAACGTTGATATCTTAAACTAAGGCTCTATCCAACGAGTCTGGGCCGCACCCGTAAACCAAGAGAGAGTCTACTTCACAAGTCTAAAGGAGGTTCCATTCCAAAACCATATGGCGATAGGAGGAATAGCTCCTTAGCCTTATAAAGTGTTTGACTCTCTCTTGTTTTCTTAATGTGGGATATTTACATTCGTTATTTGGTAGGATATACTTCAATTCACCCCCTCACATGTAAGGTCTTTTAACTCAAGGAGCTATTAGAGGTCTCATACCGTGAACCTGACTATGTTGCCAGGTTAAATACGGGTCTGGGCCGCACTCGCAAACCAAGAGAGGAAGTCCATTTTACAAGTCTAAAGGAGGTTCTATCCCAAACCATATGGCGATAGTATAAAGTGTTTAACTCTCTCTTTGGTTTTCTCAATGTGGGACACTTATATGTGTTATTTGGTAAGATATACTTCTACAAGTTCAGTAAAAATAATTTAGATCAGCAAAAATAAGGTAAAGTAAACATGGCCTAAAAGTAAGGGTGTAACATTTGGGGGAATAAAAGGGTAAATAAATTTGAATATGGAGTACGGTCAAATAGGGTAAAGCAAGTGAATAGAACAAATAAAAGATTATTGGGATATATTTTGGATTAAAATAGAAAAGGAGTAGAACAAAAAAGAACGAAAGGAATAATATTTGTAAAAAAAAATAATATATTAACCGTATACGTATATACATATTCCTTAGGGCTACATATAAGCATTAAAAGGCTACATACGGAGTATAACATCTATACTAATATATTAAAAGGCGTTACTAAGCACGTCTCTGTGCCACGTAGACCACGCCACATCACCTACTCCATTTCCAACTAGAATTTTGCTTCATATTAAAAAAAATTTGATAAGGGGATTCAAACACCCAACCTTTTCTAAGAAAGAGAGTTACTTAACCATCTAAGTCAATCATAAGCTATGTTATAAATAAGAAAATAAATGTATATATATAATTTATAATCACAAGGTCTAATTAAAGTAGCAACCGGTGCAACGGCAGGGCTACACACTTGTTATCATAATTTCAATGCTGCACGTAATTAATATATATACATATCCCCTAATCACGCTTAAATGAGAGTTAATACATTGTTAAACCAGTATAATAATTGGACAAATGGTAGCTTCATAAAAGCAAAAGTGTTTTTACATATAGTTCGTTCCTTCGATGATAAAAAAAATATAACTTTTTTTTGAAAGGATAAAAATAAATAAATAAATTAAAAAATATATATATACTTCGTTCGTAGCTTCAACCTATAGTTTTTTTTTTTTTTTTTTTTTTTTTTAAAACCTCGTAAACCTACAGTTTGTTCATTCGTCATTTTAAATAATTAAAAATAGGGAAATTTGTTTAAAAAAATATATTTTATATGCGTCATTTTGTAGGGAAAAACCTTTTAAAAGGATCGGTGTTAAAAAAAAACTACCACAATCACTTTTTTGTTTAATGAAACCTCCACCCTCTTTTCAGACGTTGACTCGTTATCAACCCTCTTTTTTTTTCTCCCTAAATTTCCCTCTATAAATAACCTAGGGCAAGCCTCCCCAAATCAATTGAAAGAAAAATTAGGCAAACTTTCCCAAATCAAATCAATTGAAAGGTAAATTAGGGTTCTTAATCTATTTCTTCCACAATTGTAGTGCTGACATACTTCACCATTGTTGTGCTCACTCCTGCGTTTTTCAATTCTCTCTTTTTTTGCATATGTTTTGTTCTTGTGCGTTCTTTTCTCTTCTCTAATAGTCAACAAATTCAAGAATCCATCAAAGTTTGTGGGATTGGTATTTACTGCACAATACAATTTCACCAACACCAAGCAACAATTAGGTATATTGATTTTATTATTAGTCCAAATTTTTATATAAACTCTAATAATTTCACCAAATTTATCCAATTGAGTACAAAATTGAAGATCTTACCTTGGTTTGTACTTAACTACGTAATTGGGAAACCTAGACTTGTGCCCAAATGACCCTTTTCTTCCTTGTTAGCCATTGATAACAACTATTATGTGAGTTTTTAAATTTTGTTTTAAAAAAAAGCCCCAATTTTTATACTTTCTACAGTAATAATTTGATTAATTTACACTTACCTTAGGCATGCAAGAGTGATAAAAGAGCATATCATTCATATATGGAAGCAAGGAGAGAGAAAATACAAGAGGAATAAACTTTGGAGGGAAAATAAGGAGATAAAACTAGGGAGTGCAAATATAAAAAGATTTGGGTGTTAATATGGAAAATAACGAGTCAAATGCCTGAAAACTGGAGTCAATGTCGGAAAAGAGAGTGGTGGTTTCATTAAACAAAAAAAGTGATCGTAATAGTTTTTTTTTAACAAAAATAATTTTTTAAAAAGGTTTTTTTTATTATTATTATTATTTTGCATTACGAGTCATTTAAAAGGTTATTTTTATTTTATTTTTTTTTACAAATTTGTCTTAAAAATACAAGGTATATTTGTAAGTTGATGAAATAATGAAATATGACAATATTAATGGTACAATACAATGAAACAATTAGTATAATGTTCCGCCAAGACACCAACAAACATTATCACATTGATGGTTTACTATTTTTCAACCTATTAATTATTAGTGTAATGGTGATTGAGGCTATATTTGGTAGAAAGGATCACGTGTTCGATCTCCCGGAACAATAATTAAGAGAGAATTGAAACCTAACCACCTGCTTGGGTCCAATTGGGCCAGTCCATAAATGGTTCAATTTACAAAGTCCAAGGTCAAGGTTCAACCTTCCAATCCATGCCAAGTCAGTCAAAGGTCTAGTCAACATGGTAAGCTCATGGCTCATTTCACCCGAAACACCACCTATAACTGATTCTTGAATCCAGATTAGTCCAAAGGATGAACCATTTAAAACACCCAAAAAAAAATTGCTTACCATTTTTCATTAATTATCATCAATTACCTTTAAGAGACCCGTACATAACATTTTCATTAATAAATAACACATGCTAGAAGTGGTTCACGTAAACGTAAACGTAAACGTGGGCATCTTATTACATTATATTTTTCGTACTTCACACACAAATTCATTACCATTGTTACATGTAGTTCGAAGTTATTGGCTTTAACTTGAGAGCCTATTGTTCAGTTTTTTCCATGGTGATGATCATCGATATCCTTAGAAGCAGCAAGCCAGGCATCGAGCAAATCGGTTGGTTCAGGGACACCAGGATGCTTCTTCTCATACTCTAAACTCCACCTCACTATGCACCTTTCCTTATCCTTAGGTTTCACCTGGCATGTTGCAACCATGGTCTTGTACTCATTCAATACATCACCTTCAATAGCTCGGTATCGGATCAGCTTCTTCTCCTCGTCAATCTCTTCGAGTACACTCTTTGCTACCATAGGCTTCCCACCTAAAATAATTATTCTCAATGTATTCCATCTGTTAGCAATTCTGATTGTAGAGCTAGTAAAAGGGTATAATAGAAATCGATCAAAGTAATTAAAAGGACAATAAGCGGACTTGCGTTAATTTTATTGAAATACAGTTAATTTAAGGGTAAATTTAACAAATTCTATGATGACTTAAAACCCTATAAGAGTAACTTTTAATTTATAATGAGTTTAATTTATTTTAATGTGTATTTTCTAATGAATATATGTTATAAAAACTAATATAATTAGGATTTGAATGAATTGTTTTTTTTTTCTTTTCTTTTTTATTTGATACCTAGAAGATTAATATAAATCATACGACCCACCTCCTTCCTTGGAAAACTAAATCTCATACTCTGTAGGCTAAAGTACAGATTTAGAAATTGAATTTACGCAAACATCAAAATGGATTTACGCATTCCAAATCCATGTATCATACCTAAAAAAGACTACGAGGCACACATACACACCCTTAATTAGTTAGATTAATTTTAATTAGATCACCTAATAAAGAATAGATAAGCTAAGAGATAAAAAGGAATAAATTACCTAAAGTATAGTTCCAGGCATGTATAGAGCCAATATTACCATGGTCACCCTCGTGCAAGTCAACGCCGTGCACAAAATGAGGGGCAACATTGGAAACATGATGAATTTTATTCTTGAATATGTCATGCTGGGCATCTGCACCAGTTTCTCGAATCTCAACTTCACCCTCAAGTTTACGCTTTAGATTACTCATGCTTTCTCACGTACTATATACAAGTATAACTTCAACGTAAATCCCACATACACAACTCAAATGTGTATATGACAATATGATATGCATTTTTTTTTATAGGAGGACAAGCTAAGTGTGCCTTATAGAGTTGTTTCACCTTTAAGAGAGCAGGTATAGTGTCATTAACAAATGTGTCCCACATGGTGAGGAAAATTCTAACCGGAAAACACTTATGAATAGTGTGAGGACAATTATATCCTTAAAATATTTGTTTACTTAATTATGTTCATATTGATATGACGTTAATTACATCTAAATTTTTTCTTGTGTTATTTAATAATTTACCTATTATAAATAATATATGAACAATTATTTGCTCTAAAATATTTATTTACTTATTTGACCTCATTAATGTTAACTGCCTTTTTTTAGAACTCTTAAAAATAGTGTGTTGTCATTTATGCCCCTAGTTATATTTGTTTACATATTGTCCATCATTAACATTGTCAACTTTGCGCACGTTAGCCACCCTACTTATAATAAAATTGATGGAAAATTACAATCAGTAACATGAATTATGAATGAGATAATTGATAAGAATTTGCTACTAGATGTAAAAAATTGACACTAATTACGTATAAAGATAATGGTTGGCATTAAGTTAGTAGAGTACATGGATTATATAAGCCTCAATTTATTAAAATTATTAAATAATAATTCGTATTAAAAGAGGGGTAATGCTATATGTAGGGCTTTATATAAGCATGTGACGCTCCAGGAGTTAGGGCCTCGAAACATGCGGCGCTCTAGCCTTTTGGCGGCAAGAACGCAAGCCTTGAGCGAAAGAGGGGCTTGTGAACACAAAGCAACACAGGCGGACAATTAATCACAGGTACAACTGTCAAAAGTTAACTCGACCCGAAATACCGACTCAAACTCGATTATTAACCTAACCATCTGAACTCGAAAAAACGATGACCCAAATCCGACCTGACCCGACCTGAAACCAAACCTAGACCCGAGTTGACTCGAGTATGGGAGACCCAAACCCGAATGTAACCATAAATTATTGACCTGAACCGAACCCAACTTGAACCGAAATTGACCCAAACCGATTTTAACCCGTCAAAACCCGAATTTAACCCAACTTGTAACTGACCTGACCTAAATTCAGCCTGACCCGAATTTAACCCAACCTTTTACAAACACGCCAGAAATCAACCCGACTTGAGATTAACCTAACCCAAATTCAACCCGACTTATTATTGACCCGACTGGAATTTTACAAGACCTATTACTAACCCGGCCAAAAAATTCAACCAGATGTGTTACTATCCCAACTCGAAATCAACACGACTTGTTATTGAACTGACCTATTTCAACCCAAATTGTTCCTGACCCGATTTCAAATCACCTTAAATGCAACTTAGACCGCCTTATTATTGTTGATCAAAGCATTTTGTCTAAGGAGACCAAGTTGGTCCAGGCCAACAAAATAAAGGAGCATCATCCTCAAATTTAAGAGTTAAATATAGTATATATTTGTTGTATGGTCAAAAGAGATAATTATCTTCCTAAATAATAGACTATAGTTCCCTAGTATATTGCCATATATATTATAGTCAAAAGAAATAATTAGCTTGATAAAATGATAATTATCTATTTGTATTTAGTTGAACCCGAATATGATCTGACTTGGAAATGACCCGACCTTATTGTAACCTGCAAATTATTGACTTGAACATAACCCGACTTGAATCCGATAATGACCTGACTTATAAATGACCCAACCTAATTATAACCCGCAAATTATTGACTTGAATCGAACTCGACTTGAACCAGAGAATTGAATGACCCGACCTGATTATAACCCGCAAATTATTGACTTCAAACGAACCCGACTTAAACCCAAGAAAGACCCGACCTCATTCTAACCAACAAATTATTGACTTGAACCAAACCCGACTCGAACCCGAGAACTACCCTAACACGTTTTAACCCGTAAAAACCCGAATTAAACTCTACCTATTGTTCACCCTACCCAAATGTAACATGACCGGTTATTAACCTAACCCAAACCCGATAAGAAGTATGATTCGACGTAACCCGACTCAAGCGTGACCGAACCCAAATCCGATCCGCATAGGTTATGGATCTAATCAGAATTGACCCGACCCACTCTTACCAACTTAAACCCGACCTGTTTACCCGAATTGACAGCTCTACCCGAAACCTCCAAAATTTCTCAAAAATCGTGGATATTAACCTTCAATTTCGGAATTTTTTGCCTATTTTTCACCCAGAAATAAAATTTGTCGAAATGTTCACCATGGTCCCTAATACCCTCCGAGAGTCCAATTGGCTGGGTGGAACCATCAAATTTGCCTTTAAATGACTAATTTACCAGTTTACAAGTTGGACCGATTTCATTAACTCAATCTTACCACGAACATTTATGACAACATATAATGATCATATATGGTTCCAAACGGCATTATATGCGAGATGTACGTATCCCCTAAAATCTCAATGCCTTTTGACACCGGACCACAAAACAATCAAATTTTCTCAAAAAGCGTGGATATTGCCTTCAATTTTGGAATTTTTGACTTTTTTTTGCCCGGATATAAAAATTGCCGAAATGTTTACCATGGTCCCTAATACCCTCCGGGAGTCCAATTGGGTGGATGGAACCATCCAATTTGCCTTTAAACGAACAATTTTCCGGTTTATAACTTGCACCGATTTCATTAATTCAAGCCTACCACGAATTTATGACAACAAATAATGATCATATATGATTCCAAACAACATTATATGACCACGAGATGTATTCCCTAGAATTTCAAAACTTTTCGAAACCGAGCCCCGAATACTCCAAAAATACTCAAAAAGCGTGGATAATGGCCTTCAATTTTTGAATTTTTTGGACTTTTTTTCCTCGTAAATAAAAAATGCCGAAATGTTTACCATAGTCTCTAATACCCTCTAGGAGTTCAATTGGGAAGGTGGAACCATCCAATTTGCCTTTAAACGACTAATTTACCAGTTTACAACTTGCGACAATTTCATTAACTCAAGCTTACCACAAACATTTATGACATCATATAATGATCATATATGGTTCCAAACGGAGTTATATGAACCCTAGATGTATCCCCTAAAATTTAAAAGCCTTCTATTTTGGATTTTTTTTTTTTTTTTTTACTTTTTTTCGCCTGAAAATAAAAATTGCCGAAATGTTTACTTTGATCTCTAATACCCTCCGGGAGTCCAATTGGGTGGGGTGAAACCATCCTATTTGCCTTCAAACGGCTAATTTACCGGTTTACAGCTTGCACCGATTTCATTAACTCCAGCCTACCACGAATATTATGAAAAAGATAATAATCACAAATGGTTCCATACGACATTATATAACCCCGAGATATATCCCCTAGAATTTCAAGACATTTCGACATAAGGCCCCGAAACCTCCAAAATTTCTCAAAAAGTGTGGATATTAGTCTTTAATTTTAGATTTTTTTGACTTTTTTTCGCCCAAAAATAAAATTTTTAGAATTGTTTACCATGGTTCTTAATACCTTCGGGGAGTCCAATTGGGGGGTGGAACCATCCAATTTGCTTTTAAACGGACAATTTACCGATTTACAACTTGTATTGATTTCATTAACTCAATCCTACCACGAACATTTAAGACAACATATAATGATCATATATGGTTCCAAACAACATTATATGACCCCGAGATGTATCTCCTAATATCTCAAGTCTTTTCGACACCGTTCCCCGAAACGTTCGAAATTTCTCAAAAAGTGTTAATATTAGGCTTCATTTTTGGAAATTTTTGACTTTTTTCGCCCAAAAATAAAAAACTATCGAAATGTTTACCATGACCCCTAATACCCTCCGGGAGTCCAATTGGGTGTGTGGAGCAATCCAATTTGTCATAAAACGGCCAATTTACCGGTTTATAACTTGCACCGATTTCATTAACTCAAGCCTACCACGAACATTTAAGACAACAAATAATAATCATATTTGGTCACAAACGACATTATATGACCCCGAGATATATATCCTAAAATCTCAAGACTTTTCGACACCGAGTTCCAAAACCTCCAAAATTTCTCAAAAATCGTGGATATTAGCCTTTAATTTTTGAATTTTAGACTTTTTTCGCACGAAAATAAAAATTGCCAAAATGTTTACCATGGTCCCTAATACCCTCCGGGAGTCTAATTGGGTGGGTTGAACTATCCAATTTGCCTTTTAATGACCAATTTACTGGTTTAGAACTTGCACCGATTTCATTAACTCAAGCCTACCACGAACACCTATGACCACAAATAATGATCATATAAGGTTCCAAATGACAGTATATGACCCATAAATGTATTCCCTCAAATTTAAAGACTTTTCAACACCGCGCTCCGAAACATCCAAAATTTCTCAAAAAACGTGGATATTAGTCTTCAATTTTGGAATTTTTTGACTTTTTGACTTTTTTTGCCCCGAAAATAAAAATTGCCAAAAGGTTTACAATGGTCCCTAATATTCTCCGAGAGTCTAATTAGGTGGGTTGAACCATCCAATTTGCCTTTTAATGACTAATTTACCGATTTACAACTTGCACTGATTTCATTAGGTCAGGCCTACCACCAACATTTATGACAACAAATAATGATCACATGTGGATCCAAACAACATTAAATTACCCCGAGATGTATCTCCTAATATCTCAAGTCTTTTCGACATCGGGTTCCAAAACGTTCGAAATTTCTCAAAAAGCGTGAATATTAGTCTTCAATTTTGGAAATTTTTGACTTTTTTTCGCCCATAAAAAAAATTTGCCGAAATGTTTACCATGGTCCCTAATACCCTCCTGAAGTCCAATTGGGTGTGTGGAGCAATCCAATTCGTCATAAAACGGCCAATATACCTGTTTACAGCTTGCACCGATTTCATTAACTTAAGCCTACCACGAACATTTAAGAGAACATATAATAATCATATTTGGTTACAAAACGGCATTATATGACCCCGAGATGTATCTCCTAAAATCTCAAGGTTTTTTGACACTGGGCCCCAAA